TTCTAGAAGGTTCCAGAAACTTTTGATACAATCATCAGACTTACTGAATTTTCTTCGTGAAGTTTTTGGTAACAATTCCGCCCTCGTCTTGCTTTTCCTCATGCTTCCCTGGTGAAAAGACATAAAGGCAGTTGTTAATGCAGAGATCGATGGCTTCTAGCGAGATGATGGATACGACCATTCAACACTTATGACATTATGCAGTTATCAGCTTTGAAATAAGAGGTGTAGAGAATTGCTTTTGAAAAAGATGTCGCTTTAAATACAACATCAATATATACAGGAAACTTGAAGTCAATTCAAGCACTGGTTGCTCATGAAAAGCTATAATGTTTGGCACAGAGGTGTAACTTTTACCACACTGACATTAAATTTGACCCAAACAGGTTTAGAGTCTCAAGACTTTCTGTCCATATAAGGCTTTTTTGTTGGCGAGCCGTCACATTTTACAGTCATTGTAAAGGCAACACTATATTTTGTGCTATTTCAAATCAAGAAGGTCTGTTTAAAAGCCTCTTGGCCTCATTCTCTGCAGCTGTTGGTCACTAAATGCCAGTCATGCCATACTGTGTCTCGCCGCGGCCTACATATCTACAATTACTGGCTCTTTAGGGAACACTATGAGCACAAACACATTTGATTGATTGTTCTCCTGTCAATACATTCATAATCTGCAGCCGATATAATTCTTGCTAGCAGTTTAAAATGTACATGAATGAAAGGATATTTTGAGAGCATAGTTTATCCATATAAATCGATATTTATATGGACGCTTATTTCTGCCACAGAATAAAACTATAATAATAAAAATATAATAAAGGTAATTGTCCTTTTTATCACACAATTCTGACGAGTTTATATCTTGCAATTGCAAGTTATGCATTCGTAACTGCGAATTTACAATTTACGCAATTCAGACTTTTTTTCTCAGAATTCTGAGTTTACATCTCACAGTACTGACGTTTTTTCCAGAATTCTAGCATACATCTCGCAATTCTGATTTTTTTTTTCTCGTAATTGTGAGTTT